ATGGGCAACGTTAGCACACGAATTTCGTGTCGGCTTTACCCATCTCCGTGATAAATGACGCCATAAATTAACGGAAAGCTTTAATCGATAACTTACTAAAAGTTTCATTTGCTTTTACCGCAAATGGTGCCAATTCTTGATAATTGCATGTACGATCGCATGTTTCCGTCGCAGTTGTCAGATTAAAAATTGTGACCTTGAAAAATTTTTGCAAATAAGAAAAGTTTTCTTATTCTTTCATGCCGCTATTTTTAGATACAATTTCAAACTCGAATCCGGGGGGGCCTAATCGAAAATGCGCCACTGGCCTCGGCGGATATCGCGAAGGAATGGCAGATACGTGCTTCCACTTTATCGCGATCCCCTGCTGATTCCCTGCTGATTGCCGATAGCTGCGATAGAAAGATTACGTATATAGCAAAAGGGAGAAACGGTTTGCCGATAAAGGCGATAGTCGATGCGATCGGAGAAAACGGATTTCCGTGACGCCTGCACGACAGTTCGTTAGCCACCCGACCTAAGAGCCACCGATAATTACTCCGCCATCCGTGTATCACGAGGTCACTCGGATGACGCGGTATCGAGGTCAGCTGAGCGTTTTCTAGTACAGAGGACCCACGGTTCCGAAGGACGGAATACATCGTTCTAATATAGACGAGACATGTCGAGTAATGGCGCGGCAGGAGGTTTATAGTCTGACAACATTCTCAGCAACCCTGTTCAACGATGCCAGTGATGTTATCTTGACAACGCACCACCATGACCAGATATAATCTGAGTTTATCGGAGCGTGAAGCAGCGCGAGGTCTGCGATTTAATGTGCCTACACTGCTAGAATAAGAAAGTACAAGACAAACAGGGTAAATAGTTCTTCAGAAAATTGTTACGTATTATATTATCTCATCTAGGATTTAAAAACGCAAGAATTTACGCAAGAAGTACTTTTTCTAAAGTTTGAGATTTATTCTCGTAACTTAGAGAGATTTGCGCACAATTACTTAAATTTTTCGAAGGACAGCCGTGCTGCTCTTAATAAATTGTAGAAATTATCAGATCTTGAGGAAGATTTTTGTGAGTGAATTGAATTGTGTACGTATACTATCGTACGTACTGACATATGGCAAAAGATCTTTGAAAATAATTGGAAGAATACACACACACACACACACACACACACACATACACACACACACACACACACACACACACACACACACACACACACATATGAAAAAATATTAAACGTATATAGGTATCAAAATATATGACATATATTTATAAATAAAATTTTATTTTAAGGGGGGAGACTCATGTCTTTGACCCTTTTTTTGATAATATTTTATAAAGAACTGAGAGTATTTATTGAATTCTAATAAAATACATGATAATGTTGACGATCAAATGTACAAGAAAAAATTTTTATATAGTAGAAAAAATACAAAATGGCGGCGCTGCAGCTGCTCGAAGTTGTCGTCAAGATTTTACGCGGGAGAATGCCCAGGTCCTTGTAATGAACTGAAATCAACAAACCAAAATTTTTTCGTTAAATTATGATCCTCCGATGCGCATGAACCTAAATTTAGCAAAAAAAAAAGAAATTGAAAAATAGAAGACGTTTTAAAAAAATTTCACAATTTCAAATTTTGTTAAAACGTCCTCTATTTTTCAATTTTTTTTTGCTAAATTTAGGTGCGCATCGGAGGATCATAATTTAACGAAAAATTTTTGGTTCATTGATTTCAGTTCATTACAAGGACCTGGGCATTCTCCCGCGCAAAATCTAGACGACAACTTCGAGCAGCTGCACTTTGTATTTTTTCTACTATAAAAAAATTTTTTCTTGTACATTTGATCGGCAACATTATCATGTATTTTATTAGGATTCAATAAATACTCTCAATTCTTTACAAAAAATTATCAAAAAAAAGGGTCAAAGACATGAGTCTCCCCCCTTAAAATCTAACGGGGATTATAGGTTATAGGAAAGTAGATACAATATTCAAAATCAGGTCAAGTTATATACCTAAGTATGTAAGTTCACTCTGCAGTTCTTGAATGAAAATTTCACTTGCCACGGGTATAATTGTCGAAAGGAATAAAGGATCTCTCTGAAGTCTTGACATTCTCGTAATAATAAGAATTAAGATTTTAACCGTTTTTATGTACACGCGCGAGCTATTTATCCAAAACATACGTGCGCGCAACGTAACAGCATTTATGCACTCGTTATTCTCGCTCGTGGAAGCAGCTATCGCGTTAACACATTACGCGGAATTCTTATGGCGGCTCGACATAGCCATTTGTGCGATGTGACACGCGATTACAAGTAATTACACCTCGCGCGTGTCATGAATATTTACGAGCGCAGTTTTTAAAGTTTCGTGTTTAGTTTAGTCGTTTAGTGCGTCGAGCAGGCTATATATATATCGGGAAAAATGATTTCTCGTTTACGAGCTCGACGTTGGATGAGTTTTCCAGTACGGCACGCGTAATATACGTGAATACGAAAAAGTGTATTGCAGCATATGATGTTTCGATTAATCAAAATTACTCACAAACAGAAGTGACATATTATTTTCAATTTTATGATTTAACGAATCAGTATAATAAATCTCTTGCATCTGCAACTTGATATTTTTTCTATTGTTTTTTTTACTTACGTCTGATAAAAATACTCATAAAATTGATCCTACATCTCAGTAAAGATACTTGGCAACGTATATGTTCTCGATACTAAAAAAGTTAAATCATTAATATATTTTATATTGTGAAAAAAGTAAAATTGTTACTACTTAAGTTTTAGTTCTAAAATAAATTACGAAGTCCTATTTAATTTTAATTAATCTCTGCTCATTTTAATTTGAGGCTGCCGGTAAATCTTTCAAAGAACTGAAAAGCGTCTGACAGTAGCGGCGACCATCTCTACTTACTTTTAATCTATTTTAGAGACATATCATATCTAAAAGGCACTGCGTTTTATTGTCATTTGCAAGAGTTGTCGCGACAAGAGACGATCTTCCCAGTATATCAATTCCGTCGGGACACAATCGATCCTCCGGGTAACGATTGGAATCATCAATGCAATTACTTGGTCGCAATTACGTTCCGCGAAACCGTTCGCGATACCGTATCGACGTTTTGACACTTCGCGTCGCCGCGAATTATTCATGCCGCGGCGCGGTGGTTAATGTCGCCTATGGGGGCAGACGGGACCGCGTATCGACACGCGGGCCATTATTTTGCATTAAGTCGTTAACGCCCGGTCGCGCACGCGGCCCGAAACGAACAAGAAAATCGCGTGTCCCCATCGTAAACTTCCGCCCACGGCTGTACAAAGAGCCGTCCATGATAGACCGATTGCCCGTAATGGTTCGCTTCGTCCTCGTAATTCTGCTTGTCGTTCCTGTCGTGTGCTAGTCGCAAATTGAAATTCACGGTGGCCGCCGGGCCAAATGTGCCCGCCCTCCACTCATCCGCTTTTCAGCGCTCGCAGGGCTCGGAGCAATACGTTAAGCAAGGTAAGCGTGAATGGGCGCCGCCGAAATACCTGCAGGGAATTCTGCAAAATGACGAGATAGAAAACTCAGGAGATGAAATCTCGCGTTAAAAATATTACGAAAAATCGATGTAATCACGGGGACACGTTTATAAAAGATTTTTTTTTCGCCGCGAAATGATGTCCGTAATGAAATATGTATGGACAATAATAACGTCGCGGTGGCAGAGATTGAAGTTTCAATGAAGTTTTGCGAAAACAAGCTGCGCATAGCCGTGCAAATTAATTTACATGTTTCTGATGTGAGAAATTACATTATTGCGAGTATTAGAAACCGTAATACTCCGCGATGAGCGTTTGCCATATTTGTCTAACTATATAGCGAATATTCATACAAGACACTTGAGTAACGCGTCGGTTCATTGTACGCGAGGCAGGCAATTGTCACCGAATTAAATCCGAAATTAGCGCTTGTTTATCACTTCCCGCAGCGTCATTTATCTTGAATATTTACGTTTCGCCGGGAACGAAATACCAGCGCGACGCACACTGCATTAATTACATGCGGTAGTTCGTCACATATTTTTCCTAAAATAATGAATTTCATACATCCAACGTATAACCGGAATATAATTTCCCGCCCGGTTCTGTCAATTTTACGACAGTTTCCGAAAACTATGGGCGTCACATAACCGCTAGTTTGAATTGTAACTAGAGAAACATGTGAGAGTAGCCGGTTTTTTTACGCGAAATGTCAAAAGCTAGTTGATATTTGCCCGCAGCGTTTTTTGCGTCAAATATATATATAGATCAACAAATCCTTCTTTATGCCGAATCTAAAACTGCACTTGCACATAATTGAAATTATTGAGCGCTAAGGTAAATATAAAGCTCCGAATGGCATTATGCTACGACTGCGAATTTCCACGGGGCGTGGAATTGATTTTTCCCACTCCTGCAGTGTGTCTTGGAAATAGAAGCTGAAGAAAAATCCGGATCAGATCCAAATTCGGTGCGTTCACGGGTGAGCGGGCGCGCAAAATTATCCGTGGCCGCGCTATCCGACATTAATGGCCGACCTATTTGCATATCGCGTTTAAACTGCGCGAAACGTTATTCCGCTTTAATACCGCACCGAGGGGACGCCATATATACTTATCATCTTTTATGACCCCGAGAATATCCGGTTTGTCGGAAATACTCTATCTCGTAGTCGGGTTCTTAGCCGCAATCTCGCGAGCGCGCGCGCGCGCGCAAACAAAGTGGACTCGGGGCGCGCGATCGCGCGCGCAAACAAAGGCTGCATTCGAGGAGCGCGCTATTAGCGCTATTGCATCATTCTGTCTTTATCGCTCATCAGTTGTAAAACAAGGATAGAACAAGCAAATAGCGCTAATAGCGCGCTCCCCGAATGCAGCCAAAGCCGTCCCGCGGCGTTGTTATCGCCGACGCCGATCGTCGACATTCGGTTTCTCTAGCGTTCAAACGCGGTCTGTAATTACAGGTGCGATTCCGGAAAGATGATACGCGACTACCTGATACTGCTCTCGTGGCTCTGCGCGGTGCAAGGGAAGATAGGTAAGTACCGCACGTTCTGCAACTTTGTATTCTGCGATTTTGCGAATAACCGCGATGAGAAACACTTCGTGCGCTTGTAAGGCGCTCTTCCTTACATGCGCTGGTAAACGCAATTTTTAATCCCGCGTATAAAGGGAAATTATATTGCGACTATATAGCTCATCCGATGTCTTCAGGCGCAATCTGGCTATCGTTTACGCGCCGCCTGAAAATCCATTCCGCGGCACAGCTTTTCTCAAGAGAAAAACTTCCCGGCGTTACATAATAGGTCGAGAATAACGGCAGATTCGAAGCGATACCGCTTCAGGTAGAATCTCGATACGAGAGTGCACTTCAAAATCCATATAGCCAAACTCATTTTTAAAGATACGATTTTTTTCGTTAATGCAACCGTGCACCAGAATAATGTAAAATCAATTTTTTTCGTTAATGCAGCCGTGCACCAGAATGATGTCGAATCTATTTTTTCGTTAATGCAACCGTGCGCCAGAATGATGTCGAATTTATTTTTACTATATACCGACTGTTGCCAACTGAAAGTTAGCGAAGACGAGGGAGTATGTGTTTCAATCGGAATCGAATCGTTACCTTATTTCTCGATAACTACAACTTTGATATGTACTTCCGCACATAAATTTCTTATTGATCAAGCTTGGTTTAAAGGATATATAATTATCATTAATATTGTTATGTTAATAAAAAAAGCGGAAAAACGATATATTTTATTTATACGTTCTTTTATTAGCTATCGACTGAGTTACAGAGGAAATTGATTAACCAATAATATGCATCCGCGTGGGAAATTTTAGTGACTTCCAGTTGTTATATAAATATTACAAAATAAAACCTACTTTTTTTGTATAAATTTATTTCCGGGATTATTTTATTGAAAAGATACAGGAATAAGATAGTCAAGAAATGAATAATTTACAAGATATTTTATACCTTACTTTTTGTTAGATATATTTTGCCATAAAATATCTCGCAAAATATTCATTTTTCGATGACCTTATTTTAAACACTTTATCTTGCACGGTTTAATGAGATAAATTAATTGGTGTAAGTTTAAAAAAAAAGCTGTACAGTTGCACATTGCAAATTGCAATTACATCCTTTTCGAATGTTGTATAGTTGCATTAATTTTTTGTACTTTTATTTTTTAATTTTTTTCCATCTTCAACAGAGATTTTAACTGTTACAGTTCTATGATTTATTCTGTACAATCTTCTCTTTTTTTACGCATAAAAATAGATTATAAATATTCCTATGTTAATGATTTTTACACAAATACAATAATTTATATTATTTTTTTATAGATAATTAAAAATTGTGTTTGATAGCGCAAAAATACATAAAATTCCACTTAAAACGGAAATTGCAATTTAATATAATAACATTTATATAGTGCTCATAAATGCAATATTAAGATAGGTAGTAAAGCTTGTTAATATTCTTTAATGTTACGCTGTGTGATATTTTATCTATCACTATTTCCAAGATAATAATTAGTCTAAATTTTATGAGACTTTGTATAAAGCTTACTACCGGAACAGCAAAATTTTCATCTGCCAAACGAATTTCGCTGTGTGCGCCACAGCATTTTTTTTCGTATAGATACGCAAATATGATCTCTATGTTTATTTGTGACAATGGAAGCGCAGCAATTGGTGTGAGATGTATTTTTCCATATCTACAGCAACGAAAATTGAACTCACCGATATGATACTGGTTTTAATCCCTGGGATATTTCGACAAGGTTATACGTACTGACAGCGAAATTTTACAGAAGGGAGGCAAAACCTGTTTATTTAAAGGAACATAAAAATAACGAGCTTTTTGAACGTATAAATTAAGCCTCTTAATAAACAGCGGTGATATTTGAAAATTTTCACTGTTTTCCACTGACAAATAAGTTATTTTTATTTCGTGCCATTCGTTATTACTTTTTTTTCAAATATACGATTCGATTGAAGTCAGAAAGTGCTTAACCATGTTAACCGCTAAAACACATATTGATCTGATATTGAAACATTTGAAATTGCCGCGTTTGTAACGGTTTTTACACTTTCACGTCTTACATCCCCCTATTAATCCCGGTCAGGATAAAGTTTCCTATTTTGCAGGATATTTCTGGCATATCACCGATATTCATTACGATCCAAAGTATACTACGCAAGGAAACGCCGCTACCAGTAAGTCAACATGCGTTGTTTATGATGAGCTTTACAGCTTTTGCATTAAAATAAGGTTATAATTTTTTTCTCAATTACGTGATTGCGTTTTTTAAAAAAAAGGAAAAAAAGACAAAAAAATGATTTGCATGTGCCTGCTGACGATGATCCTCACTCGATATGGCTGGAGTTACACCGTGCCGGGAATTGATCGCGTAATTGTTAGCGAGTTCTTTCTTTTTCATCTCATTTTTCATATCTTGTTTGATCACCCACGCGAATCTCATCCTATCAAATTTCATCGTATCGCCTCGGAAGGTTACGTGACCACGATTTTGCGAAATTCGCGTGGAAATTTTCATCACTTTTCACTTTTTCGCTCTTAGAGAAAATGTACGTGATCAACCTCCCGTTGCGAAATCCGAACCATGGTGTTACCACCTAGTCGGTGTTGCCAGATGCCTCGAGGTATAAACTTTCCCGAGCGCGTTTCATGAAAATTTCCCTCAGACTTATTAGTATTTTGTGAATATTTCCACGAAACTTCATAATTTTCGAGATTTATTGGACAGCACAGTCTTTTTTCGAGGGAAGAAATTTGCATGGAGGTTTTCTTTTCCAATTGTTTTTCAGCATGCGATGAACTGGAGCTCCGAGCTTTAACGAAGTACACGCCTTCGAATCGTTACACATTTCATTTTCCGACGATCGCATGAGCGAATTATTATCATTCCTCTAATAGAACGGTAAAACTGTTATTTACCAGTCTACCTGCGCGCGGGTATTTGCCGATCATACTAAAGAACCTAGCGTGCTTGGCTGGCACGAGAGATCTGCACGAAATAGAGGCGGCTTGAATTACCCCTGACCTATCCCCTCGTTTATCTGGCCTACCACCATCTTCGGCCACTAGGTAGGCCTCGTGTCGTACGAACGTTAGCGAGACACGAGCCGAATTAAGCGCGCGAGTAAGCGCGACCCTGGCCGTTTCTCTGTCACGCGCGGTGCACATTTTTATTTCACAAGTTCCCACGATCATCACCGCCTTCTCTTGCCCTCGCGACCCTTTCATTTGTTCGCTTTCCCCGATCGCGATGTTCCCAGATCCCATTTACCGTCTGGTTTCAGTGTGCTGGAACACGAGAAACATCGTCGATGGCGGACGTACGAGGCTCGACAGAAAACTGGCGGGCAAGTTTGGCGACTACAGATGCGACTCGCCCTGGGCCCTGATCGAATCGGCGGCGCGGACGATGAGATCGAGGCCCGGCGATATCGAGTTCGTCCTGTGGACGGGGTAGGTCGAAACTATCGTATAATCGATCGGTTAATGTGGTCCAATGCGCGTTTCAGTACACGAGTCATTGCACGGTGACATCTAAATGAGATCTCACTGACGTTAATCTGGTATTTTTTAATTCCTTTTCACGAATATGAATAATTAATGTACAATGTGATTGAGATACGATATGCTGATATAATAGGCTGTTTATTAACCAATAATTCGTATTAATATCTTTCTGCTTCGGGTGCCATATCAAAATACGAGGACGTTTTGTCGTTATTATTATTATTGTTATTTTTAAAAGTTCTTTTTCACTTGATTATTTTCGGTAATAATGTTAATTATTATTTTCATTGCAAATCATTATCGTTGTTGTCATTATTACTAATTTATATTACGTATTTGAAATTTATGAAAATATTCAGGGCTTTTATAATAGTCAAACGATATACGACCTGCTATCGTTAATAACGATTGTTATTGTTAAATGAATCATTAACATATTGTAATTTATTCATGAGATCTCATTTATTATCAATAAAATTATAAACAAGATCCAGTTTGGGGAGAGCGAGAGAATGGCAACTTGTTAATTCAGTTAATAACGCGATTATTTATGTGTCGAATATATTACCATTAAATAAATTTACTTCACGAACGATTTACTAGTTGGAGGCGCACGACTTCCAATTAATTACCGGAAGCGAGGAGTACGGTACCGCTGACGGTACGGTATAAATATTGCATCCACAATCGATGACTTCCTTTACTTAACATCGTTGCTTCATTGCGTGTGTTATCACAAGAAATACGAATGTAAACAAATGCGGACATAGTAAATGCTAAAATATTGATGTAATATGAAATGTCTATTTCCGAAAAGTTTTGAATTCTCATGAATTGCAATTTATTCGTTGCACATTAATGTTAATACGTTTTGACATATTAAACTCGCGTGCTCCGATTTTAAACTAAATTCTGTTCATATTATTAATCTTGTATAGGTACGTAATCATTCTATTTAGAGGAAACTCTAAATTGCCTTCCTGCTTTTTCAATTAATGGACAATGATATGATATCCCGCACTGAGAGAAAATTTACGACTATAATTGTATAGTAAAATAATTATAGTCGAGGTTGTTATTTTTATAGTTATTATTGCTATAATATTAGTAAAAATAATTTTATATGTATAGATTTTTCGATTATAGTCATTTTCATCATATTCATTATACTTACTATACATAAAACACAGGTTATAGGGTATAAAACCATGTTATGGTTGAATGAATGCATGTTAAAGCTATGACATAATGTAGCATGATTTTTTTCTTGTCAGTGCGGAACGAAAGCATAAAGTAAAATTATTTAGAAAATATATATATACAGGGTGTACCATAAAGACCGGATCAACTCGGGTAGATTCCTGAGATCATTTGGAGACAAAAATCCTAATGCTAAAATGTCGAGGCTGCTACAGTGTAAACGGAAAAGGTTTAAAGTTCACTAGTGTGCTTGTCAAAATTTTGCACACTCACGGACGTTGCATGTTAAAACAGCTCTTGCACACTTTACTCAACTCAATAGAAATATTTGAAATTATTATTTACTTTATTTCTTTGTACACTGTTTGCAAGACCGACGAATATCGGGATGACAATTTGGCAGCCTCGACATTTTGGCATTAGGATTTTTGTCTCCAAACGATCTCAGGAATCTACCCTTAAGAGTTGATCCGGCCTTTACGGTACACCCAGTATATAACTTAAAATTTTTTGTTCTTTTCTTCTTTTGTTAACTCTATACTTATAAACTGTCAGAACATCATCGAGGCGTCGGTGTTTAATCAGTTATCGTTGACGTAACAATTATCAGCGTTCCGCTTGAGTGACAATTCGCGCACGTCTGATTTTGTCGTCGTTGTTGTACCGCATTGCGCCTCATCTCGCGTGTCAACGGGACGCGACGCGTCGCGTCGCGGCGCGACGAGACGCGTCCTTATCCGGCGACATTTCCTCTTCCTCGCTGTATTTATCGGCGATAATCACCGGGGCGCGCTGTAATGTCCCCGAGTGCGAGGTGTTCTATGTAACTAGGACTAACGAGGCTGTAACTACTTGTTGCAGTGATGCGCTGACGCGCAATGCCGGCATGAACGCCGAGCTGCGTTTGCAATGTTTGCGGAATTTGACCGAGCTGTTGCACCGCACGTTCAAAGGACAATTCGTGTTCCCCGCGCTCGGCCACGAAGACATAGGCCTGAATTACACGCAGCTCGCATCCGTCTGGCAGAACTGGCTACCGCCGGAAGCGGTGGACACTTTTGTAAAGGGTGAGTAAGCAAAATGTCCTCAAACACAAACGATACGAATTAAACGGATTGAAGTATCGGTTGAAAGATGGTAATTATCGCACTGCGATGATTTTGTTCCAAATTAACGATATATCATACAATCAATTAGCTTTTCGGTTAGCTAATCTTTATAATATGTCACATTCCAAGAAGAATGCTATCGCAACTCACAAATACACAATTTTCGGGAGAGAGGAAAAACAAATTTAATTCAATTTTTTTTTATTTTGAGATAACTAATTATACTGCTTTTTGAAGAGGTCTGCTGTGATTCACTTGTCAATTCACTTATGACACTTCATCCAGGAAATCGCAATATAACCGGTTTAAAAAAATAAATAATGACATTTCTGCCCCGTGCAGCAGATTTCGCATATAGACTTGTTGACACTATTATAACATGTAGATAACATTTTAGGCATACTGTTTATATAGTTTGACTTAAAATCAAAATTTTCCGAGTTGTGGCAGTATTCTTCTCGGGGTGTGATATATGTATATCGGTAATTAAGCATCCTTGTACCGTATCGTATTAAAATTCCAAAAGAAGCACCTTACGGTCCCGAGAGGTACATAAATGATCGGCGAACGCGAGGTTTCGCGCCGCTCTTTGATTCGAAACGCGCGCAACGGGTCGATGCAACATTTACGGATGCCTTCTCCCTCTGAAAATGTTACGGCACAAAGTAAGCTTATTGGCGGGCATAAATTCGCCCCGGCTTTACCGCCACGGCACTATTCAAAATTTGTTGCAGCCGGCTACTATACGATCGAGCAGCGCTCGAAAAAATATCGGATCGTCTTCCTTAATACGAATTTGTGGCTGAACCCGGTCGACAGCCGTATGCTACATCGGGCCGGAAGTAGCACGGTCGATAACACGCAGGATCCCTTTGGCCAATGGCTCTGGTTCCAGTCGGTCCTCGAGAATGCGCGGAAGAAGAAGGAGACGGTAAGTTGTTACTCTGCGATATATATATGATATTATTGGTCTTCCGAGCGAGTTATTATACTGCGCGTTGGACGCGCATTATTTTTCTTTCTGCTGCTATCGCGCGCTCTCTTTCGTCGCGCGATATATACGACGGCGGATAATAAATAATTCCCAGCGTCGCCGTATCGGTAAACGATTTTATGGATTTCTGTCGAGTAAAGAAGTGCCGCGAAAATGATAAAAGCAGAGCGAAAATGATAGAGGCAGATTTGGCGGTTCACGAGAACCGCCAGATAGAAAACTAGGATCTAACGCCGCGATGAGAGGGATGCGAACGAAAATCGAGGGCACCGTACTAATTCAATCCCGGATCGATTCCTATTTGGACAGTCTATCGAGATAATGGAATTTTCATCTTTTAACGTATAAGCGTTATTTTGCCAATGATATCGATTTTCGACACCGTTGAACTCTTCATACATACGTGACTAAATTAAGCGGAAATATTCTATGAGACTATATCTTTTGTATATAATTCGATTTCGAAACGAATATCGGACTCGTCGGCATAAAGGACGTACGCGTTGAAATTTTTCGTGCCCGTTGAACCGCGCGCATATGTGCGTGCCTGTCCCTTCACGGATTGTATGTAAAAAGATAATATAGGGCAAAGAATTTTTACGCGCCATCAATTTTCTCGGATCGATGAAAATGAACGACGGCGTCTTCGAGCGGGCATCGAGTCGTTTCGCCATTATGACGTGCGCAAGTAAATTAAGCTCTTTCTAATGAAGCCGATCGTCGATAAACTCGTGGACACGAGTTTTAACACGAAAATTGACTGAATAAATGAACGTTTAATCGTGGAAAATCGATGTGCGCTCGGTATCAAGTACGTTCTAACACATGAAATTACGTATTTTGAAATGCACGTATATATTCGTGCATTTGTAGATATGCGCACATCGCCAGTCATTACCATGCAGAATTATGTTTGGCAATTTGGCTTTTGCAAATGTTTAATATGTATTTGAAAAATCAAATATTAATATAAATTAATGTAATATTAAAAAATAACCCTTTTAAAGTGTACGTTTTTTTAGGATTTTGGCGGTGTATATACGTGGGTCTGCCACGTTCAACGCTATTTTTCCCTATACCTTAAAGTATTTTAAAAAATCTAAAAAAATTCATGAAACATCTATCTACATTGTAATTGACGATTTTATAGTCATTTTGATAAACATCATTTATTTAATATCTTTTAATAGGCTTGCAAGTTTTATAGTTACGAGCAGATATCACTTTGCCTCGGACATCGTAGTCCCGCGTATACACGTTAAGGGATAAATAACAGCTTATGCACTATTGATTAAATCAATAAAAATAAAATTTTAGATCTTTTAATTAATAATTATAAATAAACATAATGTACAGTTTGTATTTCTTTCCAAATGTCGCATGTCAATGTTGTAATGTATAATTTTATTACGTTATTTCTGTGTACATTTATAAAACTTTTATTAAACAATGGACTTGTTGGTACTGATCAAATTCATTCAATACATAAAATACCACGATGATTAAACGAGTTAACGCAAAAAACGTTAAAGTTACATATATACTAATGAAATTGAGATATATTTTTTTTCACGGGATACACACGTTAATATTATTTGCCTATCACGAAGAAACTCGCATCAAACAACCGGTGCAAATAATGCAGAAAAAGAGGCGAGAGGTAGTTGTTCTTTGCCTGTCCAATAAATTATCAGATAGATTTTTAATCAGCGCCGCGGCGGCTTGTTTTACACGGAACTTCTCGTCGGCATATACGAATATTCGATACAAAACTTCCATCCGATCTAAAAACGGCCTCTCGTCAGGCCACTCACACGATCGTGCTCTTATTGGAAAAGCACGTTTCACGGAACTTTCCTACGGAAGATTAATATCAGAAGTCGCGAATCGCGCGCGCGCGCGCGCAATATCGCGTCATTCAATATCTTATTTTTTTGCGAAATGCCTCGCTGTCCAATATCGTTGCACCGTAATTTTTTAAAAATAAAGTCCCAACTTTTTTTCTCGCGTTATACTTAATCCCTTCCCCGATGCGCTTTGATTGACAAATTGACAGGTTGACTTAACGGTGTCGTGGGTATAATAACAGTTTGCACCTAGAACTATAATATCGCTCTACATCAGGTACACACAGAGAGAGAATTCTCGCGATTACCCGTTGCCGTCAAGCTCGCCAGACATCGTAGAATTACGGCAAGTGTTTCCACCGGGTAGATATGCACGTATAAAACATTCCTCGCGTATCTCGCGTGTCACACGACAAGTTGAGTAATTGAAGGGTGTACCTGCTGTAAAAGTATTACTCAGTTTCGCAGTTTATTGTTTCGCAAAAAGCGTGGAAAACCCGGGGAAACCGGGTGGCATTGGGGAAAATTTAAGACGACGGTATATTGCCCTCATCTCACTCCGCCGCGAGATGTGTTTTTTTATTTTATTTTATTTCAAAGAATAAGATATACGATATATACGTCGACAATTGCGCGAGCAATGAAAAGATCGCACGGCGTATAAACGTATTTCGTGCTGCTTGCCTGTCGTATTAAAGCGCCAATACGACACAGATGTGATCGTCAAGAAGATAAATTTTAATGAAATAAATTCCCGTAGAGAGCGTATACGAGGCGGAATAAAAATCTCGCTGATCGGGCTTCAATGGGATGTATGATTTATCAGGCGAGCTGTTTTGTCGTCATCATTTCTCCTCCTCGTTTTTGCGCTTATAAATTATAGCGGTGCGACTATAGACACGCTCGTCGGACTGGCAGCTGACACATCGCGATTTTCGATTTCGCTTGATCACGTTTCGGTTCATTATTCGCCAGCTTATCAGCTCTCGCGCATCCAGCGACGAATCCAGCTTTAAGGGACTCTCAAGCGGAAATTTATAATGGTAGCTAACCGGATATCCTCGCAGGAAGACGGGACAAATTGTATAATTTCCATCGAAGATTCGAATGCAAATCGCGCGCGAGAGGAGCGCGATCCCCTCTCCATTCTCGACGAATACAATTTCTCTGGGATTTCCGTTTTCGATGTATTGCACCGTTTCTCCCTCGCTCCTTCTCGTTCGGTCCGCGCCATAAAGCGCGATGACAAATCGTAGGTAATGCCCATTACGCCCGGGGTATCGGAGATCGTTGCCGAGATCCGACGAGAGATGAAGGGGGACCGATCGCAAATTTATCCTCTTCGATCAGCGAGGCAATTAATTCGGCGCGGCCGCTCCGCGAGAGCCGACGTCGCGATGGTTCCTGGTATCGCGCGAGCGAGCGGGCGAGCGAGCGGAAATCTTCCGACCCGGGACCTATCGAATATCGCGGTTCCCGGGGTTATCGGTTATCGATTACGCCGCGGGGCGTGTAGTAGAACGAGTTCGACATACGCGAGGGAGATCCTTCACGCGACCGAGATGGCACGACCGACGATAAATTATGGAGGGACTTGGTATTCCATACGTGGGCCCGCGAGAGGAGACCCCGTCCGTATACGTAAACCGATGCACGCCACCGCCATTGATCCCGATCGTATTAACCGGCGAGCGCAACCAAGAGACAGAGAGAGAAAGAGAGAGAGAAAGCGAGAGCGAGAGAGAGGAGAGCTGGGCCGCGCGCGCCGTCGCGTTCATCCACGACACTATCGGCGCATTCACCTACGTGCACGTTCGAAAAGGTAACCCTGTTACCCCTCGATGCATAACGCCACCGGCTGGCTCGCGTATGAAGAGTGACATTATTTTTCAGTGTACCCTTCGACTACGTACGCAATAAAAACTCGGCGTAAATTTTTTACTCTATACAGCAAAAAGTCAGAAATTATTCGTGGGATTTACTATGGCAAACTAAACCCCCATTGTGTGTATTTCAAACTGAATGCGGTTATGTATATTTAGCAGACTCGTATTATATTGATATCGAAAAAAAATGCGGTTCACGTATCAACGCGTTCCCGAGTTGCGAGTTATTTTTACACTCGAGCTACAATTTATCCATTGATCTTCGATCAATTGACAAGTTTCAAGAAATCTTTCTGGGGATTTCTAAGTGTTTTCGGAGTTTTCGAGGGAAAATAAAATCAACATTGAAAGAACGCTCATAATTGAGTAATAACCGGTAATAACATATCATATGACGGGTTTCGATAAAGCAGTCGTATTCTTTGCTCGACAGCCATGATATTCCATAAGCTCTCAGGAGGCTCTTAAAGCCCTTCTCTTTCTCTCCGTTCTTCTCCCTTCTTCTCTCTCTTCTTTCTTCATGAAAAGCTCTTAATGCGGATCAACGAGCGTAGAAGCAAAATAGCCGTCCTCTTCAAAGCGATGAAATGACCAGTAGGGTAATAACAATCGGAAAATGTAGCGAGCACGGCTCGTTGGGTCGCGACTCTGATAACCAGCAATAATTTTCTTCGATCCTCCCGTCGCCTTCCTTATCCACCGCTCTCCACCATCCTGCTCCTCGATGCTCGCTCGATCGCACCACGGACGCGCTCCCCGGGGATTTCCGGAGAAGAATTCTCGGAAAATCTTGTACGTCCTTATGTGTGCCCGGATAAAAAGAGCGCGCGGAGACACGGACGCGAGACGGGATACGCGGCGAGGGACGGGATGCCCCGGGTTCCAAGATAGAAATCCGATTTTCCGTGGACAGATATAATCCCGTGCCGGTGCCGTTTCGCAAACGGTCCGAGTGGGCTTCTCGATCCCCCGGCATTCCCATAGAGACGGGACGAATGTCGCGGCAAATGGTAAGAGGATGGGGCGCGGTGATGGCGCGGCGGGGCAAAAGGGGACCAGGAGGAAATGGATCGATCGATCGATCGTTCCCGACATCGGGCCGGATAATGCGATTACAAATTACGAGTCGTTTAAAAGCGTCAGCGGCAAAACTGACCAATCAGCGATCCATTGTAGCCCGGTCCAATTCGTTCGGTGCCTCCCTTGAATGGCAGCCGTGATTCCTGCACCTTCGGCAAAAGGCCCTCGGCAGCAATTTAAAATCGACGTCTGTGCGCTTTTCACGCGATATTTTTCAATCTCCGCGCGGCACCGATGATTCAGTTGTTTGCGGAGAGCGCGTTTTTTTCACTATGCCTTCTTCGACGCCACCGCGGACGCGGACGCGCGCAAGCGTTTTTTGCGTTTATTCCGCGGACCGCAACGCGCGACGACGATTCGCCACATAATTCCAAACGCGTCACTCCCGCGTTCAACCGCGCGCGCGCTACCATTTTACCTTTCAAAAGGAGGCAGCCTTTTCTCCACGGCGCGATTCGGCGAAAAAAGGATCCGTCCTGCGAATGGAAAATGTATCTCTCGCTCGCCGTTATCCACTTAACGAGTTGTGCTTTATCCATCCACTATTTTGGTTCGAATGATCCTACGGGAATATCACCATGGTTGGCTCGCTTCCATCTTTGAACGCTATCGGCGCACTCCGATTCGTGTGTGTGTGTGTGTGTGTGTGTGTGTGTGTGTGTGTGTGTGTGTGTGTGTGTGTGTGTGTGTCATACATACACGTCAGTTACCATATATCAATGGTTCCTATTGTTATTAATGCCATTAATATTTTGTTATTGTTAAGAGCAGTTTCATTGATCGCTTGGAATAGCTGTCAGTTAATCACATAGAGACGTATCAAATATTTAAGAAGAGTGCTTATACATGTATATTTCAGTAATTGTAGAAATTATTGATAAAAAATATTCGTCGTATTCAACATAAAATTTTAAATAAAGCTAGAAACGAAATGGCACAATTTCAAGGTAATTTCGGCTAATTGAGAGACTACTTGTCATTAGCTTTAATGCGTTTTCCGATCGTTCTTCGGAGATACGTCTCCTCGACAACCATGGGACGTCTCCGGCTACTTTTTCAATCAGAGGTCTCGACGCTCCGCGCCAACTTCTGCGTCAATTTGCGTCTCGAACCGGTGGGACTAATTTCGCGTACGTGTCCGATTAGATATCAAGTCCTTCGTATCTCCAATTCTCCGTCGTCGCTACAGACACCCACGATCGAATGAGCACATGTACCCGTATATGTGTGTGTGTGTGTGTGTGTGTGGAGGTGCTGTATGCGTTGCCATCCGCGAGTGACTGGCCGGTTTGCCGATGCTAACGATGAGACTTCCTGCGTCCCGGGAGACACATTGCGTAGCCCACGTACGTGATTCACCCTAGAGCGTCTGTTTAACCGGGATGCAGTCACGCGACGTAACTAAGGATATCTCTGTTGAATGAGAATGCCTCCGCTCTTTGGCCAAAGGCATCGGACCGAGAGCCGTCAATATTTAGCATCCGAATATATTGATCGGCGGTATTCTTGAAGTATTTTTTTATCTCTTCGCAGTCGATAAATGATTCTATCATGGACTTGTGATATCGTTATTACCAAGTTTCTTGTCGACATTACGGCACGAGTTTACTTTAACAAAGTTACCGTATTTCTGGTTTTATATCAAAATATTTATGTGCAAGTACATACCGTATATAAAAATAAACTTTGTAGAGTTAGCAACGTCTGTACGACATAACAAGAAACAAATATCCTTATTTATATACGAAACTAAGAGTCAGATATTTGTTTTTCATTTCTATCGCATTTCCACAAGTCATACTTTGCTGAATGCAAATTCCAATTATAAATTAGTAGGTCGATTAATGTGATCACCTATGACATATCAGACATATTTATCATTTATATATACATCAATCTAATAATAGCTATATATTGGAATACTGCAAATCTATTTTACACTCTTCAATCTATCAGTAATTAATTATGGAAGGAGATGTTACTACTTTTATCAAATATATTTGGGTACAACGCTATTTAGAACGCGAGGTTAATATCTTGAAGCAAATTTAGAAACACCGAATACCTACAGGTTCTTGGGATAATACTGGTACAAATAGATAATCGATATTTTATATGGGTCGAGCATTATTAACGAAAATAAACACTATTATTAACATTTAAATGGAATGTACATGAAAACTATTTATAAATTCGCTACAAAAGCCTGCTATTATAAAAGTATTCTTATCGAACCGCTAGATTTCGACATATCTCTACATCACAATAAAATCTTCTTTTATATACATACGATATAAAAATTAAATAAAAAATTTTCAAGGAAATTTGTAATGTAAAGGTGTATATTGCATCAGAAAGTGTTTTGATGTCGAGTAACGCATCAAAGGTTAATCTACGTGGTAAAACAGCGGATAGTATCGGGAAGAACATCGAGTTTTCATGAATAGATATTAAGATAGAATACAGAATAACGAAACGTCGAGTTGACCTAGCTATGGAGACTCCCCGAAATATCGATGTCCGATGATCATTCCTATTCTGCTCTGTGACGATCAGGTGTACATAGTCGGCCACACACCACCGGGGGTGGACGACCACGAAAGCGGCGCCGTAGCGCTTAACGAGAGGCACAACACGAAGTATCTGCAGGTAGTGCGGCTCTATTCGGACATCATCCGGGGACAATTCTTCGGTCACTGGCATTCGGATACATTCCGGGTGATATACAGCGACACAGGTATGTTATACGTACAAGCAAATTGTTCAGATTTATTCATAAACAAAGGTAATAAGTTACCTGATCCTGTATGTGTCTCTATAGGTCTCTATTGTACGATAATATTTTCATATTTTTCTCAAATATGACAATTTTCTGGCACAATACAAGTCATGTGGCTATTTATCTTATATTTTTTTTATCTTATACATCAGTCTAGGTCCAAAGCAACCGATACCCTCGATACCATTTTCTTTTTCAAAAGCGTTCGTTGGACTGTCTTTTTCCCTTTAATGAAAATCAATTTTTCAGCCAGACCAATTATTTATCAGTACTCGTTATCCCCCTTTACACCCCGCTAGTCTAGATGAGACATGAGCGCACTGTTATCGGTTTATTAGCTGCCGCGTTGACCTTAATTTTATTAATAGTCACAGCGCGCGATTAATTATTCGGTGAAACGATACTCGTTGAACAGGTCTGCCCGTATCCTGGATAATGATGGCTCCCAGCGTAACGCCGAGCACTGTCGGAGGGCCAAACAACCCGGGCTTGCGACTCTACAAGTTCGAAACTAACACCGGACAGGTACGTGAGCTTGGCGGGCGCGCGTATACTACCTCTCAATAATAACGCGGCCTTTCCGTGAACGGGAACGCTCTATTTGCGCGATGTACCGATTTCAAAAGAGACGCAGAATTGTAGGATGTATATGTGTACGTGTTGCACGCTGCGCAGATTCTAGATTACACGCAGTACTATCTTAATCTGCCTGAAGCGAATTCAATCGGCAAAGCGAACTGGGTAGCCGAGTACTCGCTGCTCGACTATTACGAGCTGCAGGAGATATCGGCGATCACTCTTCACGATCTGGCGGACCGGTTTACGCAGTCGAACGATTATGCCTTCGTCAGGTATGTGTGCGATGAAATGGATCGATCGATTCGCTTGCGTAATTTAGTCCTAAAACCGTAATAGCATACCCCGCTAATTACCGGCCTCGATTACGCCTTAAGCCATGTGTCTCGTGTCTCCGGCACATTTTTCCCCCCTTAAGTAATCAACGGATATACAAACGTGAACGTAAAACAAGTAGCTGTCGTCTAAAAATACCGTTCGTATCGCAATACTAATCGTTATCCTTATACGAAAAGAATGGACTCGAAATATTCGTGTTTGTCTCGCGATCGTCTATCGTTCATTATCATTACATGGTATGGCGCGTTTCACATAAATGCCGGTCGAAATATCCCAACGGGTGTTTAATGCTGACGCGTGGGACGCGCTAAGCGTCGACGGTCGCGTGAGATATCGATGCCCGCACGGTCGAGGATTAATAATTCCCGCGTTTCTCCATGAGCCGGCAATTATATCTCATGGTAATACCTGACCCCACAGCCCGCGACATTGTGATAACTGTCTACCCCTTTTCGAGACGCGCGCGCCATTACGATGCTAATAACAGTCCTGATACCCGACCACTCTCACGTTTCTCCTAATGCACAAGCTCGGTCTCGGTCTGTGTATATTATCCTACCGCGCACACCCTCGCACACGGCTCTCCCGCGGCGTGCGTGCGTGTGTGTGTGTGTGTTCTATGTCCCGCAGGTATTACGCGGCCAACACGGTCTCGTTGCCGCGCGAGGTGGAGCAAATCTGGGGCTGCGGCGGTCCTCTCAACGGAGTATGTGCGCTGCATCATTACTGCACTGTGACGAGGCTAAATCCCGAGTCCTACAGGTACGCCGCGCTTTAAGTAAGCGACTCACGAAAATGACCAAATGTTCCGAAAATATCATGGAATTGTTTGGAAGCTTGTTATTTCAGAAATATATTATTCGTATTTCTTTTTACTTGTATTTTTCTTCTAATAATGACGCATTACGAAAATTTGTCTTCTACGTCAGCTTTTTCTAATTTTTATACCGTTTTATTATGTTATAAAAACTTTTAAAATGTTTAAAACATTTGATCAATTTCGTGAGTAGGTAACTGCAATTGCGCGTCTCGTGAGCATGGCGGTTCCGATGGAATGTATTTCAATCTACCGTTTAGATGTAAGTGGAAAACAATCTCAAACCTGGGTCGATCGTGCAGTATATGCTGAGAAAATTGCATTATCACGAAAATATATTCGTGATATCGACAAGCTTATTTCACGAGAAAAATATTAAATTTCTCCCGTATAAAACAAAATTGAGAGTTTTATAGAGTCGTTTATGACAAAAACGTTTAATTTTCAAGTGAATCAGTCCTGACTTTATTTTTTATATTTAATATATGCAGTATTTTGGTTAATTTTAATAGCTAATTAAATTCAATATTTTGATAATAAATTATCGTAAATCTTCACATGAGAAAATTTAATTCGATCGCTTTCTGTTATTCCGAAAACGCCAGCAAGGTGCAATCATCCGCATGACGCCTAAGCTCGTGAAACTTGAAATCCATTGAGTATAGTAGGCTCTCGATGTTCGCCGTTAATTGGTTGCGTATACGTAAAGCGAATACCGATTAGATTAGAGTACTCCATTATAGCAAAACACATCGCGTGCATTATGCACGCCATTAAAATGTAATAATATTATTACGGGAGAGAAGTGAAGAAAGTTCAGAAAATTTTGACAATAAGATCTCTTCTCACTTCGATTATACAATATTTACATAATTTATACTTTTTTTAATAATCATAATCTGAATAACAAAAATTGACGGGGATAGATTCACGTGAAGATTGTAAGTTGACAATTTGTCGTTTATTATAGAGTATTTAAAAAGTCTAATTGACACAAAATGTGTAGATATATTACGCCAAATTATACGAACTCTTCTTACATACTACACTTATTGTTAGTGATCGATATGCTTTTCCATTCCTCGAAGTATGTTAAAAGCCTGACACATATATATTAAAACAGCGAAGGAGATATAAAGATTCAACCTCGAAAAAGTTGTCTCTTGAAATTTCAAAGTGGGACAAGAGTCAGTAATACATGTAACGGGCTAGATAAATGTCGGCGTAAAGATGGATAAACGGAAAGACGGATAGAGAGGGATTACTACACTTTTCAATATTCGCAAAGCGGCGCGGGAGACGTTTTCGTAAATTAAGCACCGTGAAAGCCCCCGTAGTTTGAAAACGTCATGTAATCTCGCAAAGTCTTGAAAAAGTCTCAAAGAATCCGAAGATCTCAGAGAATTCTCGGCGAAGGTGGCTTTAGCCGCGGTAATGTTTCGAAGTTGGGAGCAATTTCGTATTAGCCAGTAATACTGTAACACCTTACGACTGACTGGTCGTGCAAAAATAATAGGAACACACGCGCTAGACAGATTTTTAAAGGAACCTCGCGCGAATCTTCTTTAACGTACACTCGAAGCGTGAAACATGCATTATGCATCCGGCATAACGACGGAGAAATATATTATTGATGGAATAAGAAATGTCTTCTTTTTTTTCTCTCGAGTCGACCTCGATTTGATATATCGCGCGAGAATATAACAGGAATGTAAACGTCGAGTGATTGATGTATGCTCCGAGTCGCCAGCCAGTTTGTCCTGAAATTTTCAGAGGTCGCGAAAATGCCCGAACCTCGCAAATTTGGTGGAGAAACGAAACTTAGACTCTATCACCTGTGTAAATACGCACATTCGAAATAATAAAAGAAATTTATCAAAAGGATTGCAAAAGAATAGAAAAAAATAACACATATCGTCAATGTTAATATTATTTTTCGTATCATTTTATCACAACCGTTATTTTAATTTAAAACAGACTGCAGGGGCAATTAAAGAGCAAGCTCGAATGATAATTATGGAAATAATGTGAGGTAGACTAATTTACATTTTTATACAAATTAGTGTAAAAAATTTTTAACAATTTAGCCTAAAGTGATATTTTTTTTACAAAAAATAATCTCGACAAATTGTTAAAACTTTTTTACATTGTTCACGAACGGATATCCTGTATATGCATGTATATGTTACGCTCACAGGGAGTGCTATTCATCCTACGCTTACGCCCTGGCGTCCACGGGACACTCCACCGTACGTCTCTACTTCGCGTTGCATCTGCTAGTCCTGCTGATTTGCGCTGAGGTTCTGAACGACCGGTAGGATGAGCGAGACGAGAGGACTCCCGATCGCGCGGGTCACGCTCCGCGTCGGCCCTCCACGACGATGGTCCGCGTCTTTTTCTCTGGCAGAATCCGATCGAGACGCACCATCGATCGGCCACGGAGTGGATCAGATCGATCTAGGAGTGGTCCACGAGTTAAGGCGAACGCGTCTAGCGATACGGCGTGTTACGCCGCCCAATGTGTCATCTACTTTGTCTATGTCTCTGTCGTGTCTCCGTCTTCTCCTTGTCGCGCCACCGAAATTGTTCAGGCGCGCTCTCGTTCCGTCGTGTTTGGTGTTGCGTGTGTACGCCCGTTTTCAAGTGAGGCTGTAAAATCCAAATTCCGGATGGGATTATTCAACAGATATCCAGATTGCTCGGACGCCGCCGCAATTCAGCTTTGAAATTGAGATATCCGAATAATTCGGGTAATACGATTATTCGAATAATTCCAGTAATTTGGACAATTCGGATAAATCGGATAATTTGAGTAATTTGGATAATTCCGTGTACTGAAGTAATTCAAAGAATATTTGAATACGATAAATAATAATAATGGCTTTCTTCTTCCTCTTCTTTCTCCTCTTCCATCTCTCTCTTTCTCTCTTTCTTTCTCCCTCTATCTATTTATCTATCTATCTTTTTCAAGCAAATATAAATTTCAAAGTTGTCCAAGAATCTATTACTAAACCAATTCGAGAGTTTTAGGACAAATGAACACTCGATTGATAATTCTCAGTGTATAATTATTTAAATAAATAATATAAAAATTCATAATTGGACGTTTCTCAAGTATCCAGATACTTTGGATCAGAAATCTCGTATTCGTATTTATCCGAAATATCCGAATAATATGGGAAGATTGGATTTATTTGGCTAAGTCGGCAAACTTGCTAATAATTCTTTCTTATAGATTAATTATTAACTCGGGTCTAAATAGAAATTATCTTGAGAAATTTAAATTAAAAAATAAACACGCTCGTATGTATTCAACATTGAAATAAAAAAGCCTAATGACCGATATAAATAATTAACCTATTAATTTGCATGTACAATATATAAATTATTGGTACAGTAACTGGGTCATAGTAGCTTGACTTATCTGCGCAAAAGAATGTAAGATGAAATAAAAAGAGAGAACTAGTAACTTCTTATTCTTCTCGTTATACATTTTAATATTTCAATGAACCGTGCACGTATTGATTATCAAAGACCCAGCGGCCACATTGAATCAATGCACCTTACTGTATGTTTCGACTTCAGTCATAACATAATAAAACATTTAAAGACGATAATATATTGACATATCATAGAGACGACTTTAATTTTTACTATCTGACCCGATTTATTTTTGCCTCCGAATGAAGAATTAATTATGGATAATCTAACCGCTAAAATTACGTTTCATCTCCGTTTTACACTCTTTCATACAGATACAACGACAATTTTTAGTGATGCATTCGTCATGTTTTCAAACTGTGGTGGCTTCTTATAATAATTTTATTACGACTTTCTATCTTATTTTTCTTTGTTTATTTTCATGTAGTTTGTTTCAAAACGTTTCAGTTATTTCAATTGTTCTCTATGATACCTATGTCAATATATATTATCGTCTTTAAACGTTTTATTATATTACGGCTGAAGAAGATTCGATAAAGTCAAAACGTACCAATTTATACATGTTGTACATGCAAATTAATAAGTTAATTATTTAACAACTTTTATTGCTCTGTTATTGGCCCTTATCATTTCAATATCTTGAGAAAAATTAGTTTTTAATTTTTCAGTAAATTGATTGTTAGTTTATTTATTAAAATTGTTCTTAAATTGTTTTTACATTATGACACAGATTTTCAAATTATTAGTATTGAGCACATTTTTCTTAACAGTTTTACAGATGATTTTATACTAGAGTACATAATAAAATTTTGCGCACAAAGTGTGCAGAAAAAGTTAATATACCATTTAACATACAGTTGATTAATTTTAAAATTGTTTTTATATTGAGTCTTTCATATTTTTTACATAATATGTAAATCTGTATGTTTTCACGAGAAAACATCAAGAATTATGAGCAATATGTCAGTATAACCAATCCGAGATGCAGTCTTCCTTACAATATCTGAACAATTATTCAAATGTTTACCAGTCTTAAGTTGCAAGTTATTCACGTGAAAGTAACTTGTCACGTTTCTTCGGCGCAGCTGCGGCTGCCGTTGCAGAGAAAGAAGCAAAAAAAAAGAGAAAGAAAAGAAAATAGGGATCGCGTCGATACCATTCCTTTCGTCTTCGTCCGCAAGTTTCACGAGCTCTCGAGCGTAAACCACCGATCGACGTAGCGTGCCACCCAGCGCGGCGATCCGAATGTTTCGCGGTCGCGAACGATATGGGGGCTGCAAGCTGCAAGGACTGCAACGAATGCCCTTCCCATCGCGTAAGGCACGAGCCGCCGCGCGGAATTACATAAAAAAAAAGAAAACTGTTCGAGAGGGTCGAAAGAAGTCCCTTTAGCCACATTCTCGAATAAGTACCGGCGTCCCCGCGGCGTGCTTATATTCAAATGTAATTAAAGTTTTACACGAGGGGGGGACTTTTACGCCGCTTCGTAATCCAATGTCAAAACTCCGGAACACCGCCCTGGAAAACGCTCCGAGCAAAGTCGACGACTCGAGAAGGAGACTGCGTCGAAGCTCTCATAGCTTAAAGATTATATTCGTACTACCATTTCGCGATTGTCGGAACGATGCAGTATTTCTTAATAAAGGACTCATGGATTTGTAATGGGTGTTCTCTTATTTATCTTACATTTCGCCACCATTCCGGTTTTTCTCCGTTATCTCGGGGAAAGACCCTTCCTCCCTCCCCATCCAGTTTTCTTATTATATATAAGTTCAGCCTTCACTATTATTTTCACATCGCGACACGTAGAAACAATATATCTCTAACTTATTGTATTTAGATAACAAAGCCACTGTAATTTTATTATTATAGAAATTTGTGAGAAATTATAGATATTACTGGCTGAAGAATTACTCTCTCGCGCACAATACGAGGTGCAAAGGGAAAAAAATCGTTGAAAACATAAAATTTTTCCGCGCACCAATAACCGCGTTAGGCTCGGATTAGTTTCATTTTTCTCTTCGAATCCGCGAATATTTCCGCGTTGCGAATATGATCGCGTTAAAAGATTATTACCATAGATGGCGAGAGATTTTACGGGTCGATTTGAAAACAGCATTCTCCGCCATTAAAAAAGTCATTAACAATTACGAGGACAGAATCCGTGGAACGAGCGCGAGCTTTTAAAAAGCAATTACACTCCCAGATATTATTTCTCATGGATAGGGCTCTGAAACGCAGACTGCCGTGATTCTCGGCCCCGGCTCGTTTTCAGACTCCGATGAGCAGTTACCAGAATTCAGAATTTACTCGTATAACGAGATATAGCAGGGGGGAGAGGTCTCAATTAATTCCGCGGCCGCTACAGTTAGCAGGCTAACCCAACTTCTCTCTAAACGAGCTCCGGGGCTCTCGTGCACGTGGTGACAGCAAATATGAAGATAAGTCGTTCATTAACACGAAGGGAACATTTAGCGGAAAATGTGAGAATTTTGTTGGCGTAATGAGAGCCCGGTTTTCCCTGCGACAAGCCGTTCACCAGCCAGTGGGGGATAAAGGGGATGGGGAGAGCCGGGCAAAGATATTCAGGATATTCTAGCTAGCCGGTACCAGCCCTCAGTGCCCTCACTCTCTCTCGGCCTCGCCGATTATACCTCCGCGGTAAGTACGCTCGAACTATGCGCAAACGTATGTGCGTGCGCCGTTAATTACGTAAGTTAACAAACCTGTAGCACGTGCGGTGGCGCGTTCGCGCACATGCGTTACGCATTCATACGGATTCATACATGTAACGTATCTCGTATACATATCGCCGAGGGTATGTGCGCGCTCGCGCGCGCGGAAGGAGTAAGTCGCATATTCTCGAGGGGTATTGCACGAATTCGAGCTCATCTCTGCAAGAGAATCGCGATATCGCGAACATCGGAGAATCTCGCTGCTCGTACGTATATATATATATATATATATATATATGTACATTCATGTGCGCGGTTTGCGTGTGCTTGAGTAGCGAGTACGTGATGCGGCGTACTCGCTGTGGGTTTTGCATAGGCACGCGGCTGTGTACCGCGAGGCGCCTCGAAGCTGGCAAACACAGTTATAATGTGTGTTTGTATTGACATAAATCTTTCGCCCACTTTCCGCGCGCGAGTCGTACACGGTGAAATTACCGAGCGCATCTGGAGCTGCGACGATACCGTCGATACATCGGCGCTACCGTGATGTTGAATTGAAATGTATAATATACTCGGTGTCCGAAAAATACTTTCTTTTTATACGGTCTTGTGTATCGAATTTATCTTGACAATTATTAAAATATAAATAAAAACATATATCAAATGTAAGACACTTCGCCAATAACTAATAAATAATAATAATAATATTTTATTCGACCAAACTGGCCAGAAAATTTACGATTGATTGGGGAAAAGAAAACCATTACAATACGTTGATTGTTTCGAAAGTTATGAGTGAAAAATGACTGGGGTCCTCCAGACCTGGCTTACACGTGTACAAAAAATAAGTATGGCCTGCGAGGAAGGGTCAGAATTCCATCAATTATATCAAAACTTCAAAATTGGGGTGCTAACTTCACAAAGGTAGTCTACGAGGATTACACTTAAGAGCATTACACAATAAAGATATTATGTAAAAAACCTTAAATATCTAACAATAAGTCATAAAAGTAGCAAAACACTTAGATATGTAAGGTTCCTTAAATAATATCTTTATTGTGTAATGTATCGTAGCATTTCTCTCTTTTTTGTCTGTTACGATTGTTTGAGATATAATTTTACATGCTTTTTTAATTATTAAACTCATGATTAATAGATTCACACTTGAAAAGGACTAAAATCAATTGTAGAAACGTCGTGGCAACTATATTAAGTAAAGATAGCCAGTTTGGTCAAATAAAAAAATTATTAAAACATATGTCATTTTATTCAATATAATAATTTAAAATAATTTAAATTACTCTGAGGAAATTACATACGTGTAAAACATCAAGATTACCTTTACTTTTTAATAGAATACTGTGTATACTATATGTCATCTTTAAAAGTGAGACAATTTGACTATACGTTATTAATTTTTTCTTCACAATAGAAAAAAATTATCAGAAGATATAATATAATAGAAATTCGGATGTATTATTAGCCCTAAAATATTATTAGAAACATTCTGTATATCATGATATTGTTTCAAACAGATTTTTAAAATATAAAATATAATATTTTTTTCAATATATTTTAAATCACTAGAAATTGACGACCGACATCAATCACAATATTCGCTCCGTCGTAAACAACATTGTTGACACACCAAAGTTACATCATCAATATGCATTCTTAGGGCTCGAACACACCACTTTGTAACACCACAGAGATCCATATAGGTACTATACAGGCTTCTCTAGGGCGTTACAGAGTGGCTCTCAGACCCTCAATACCGAGCATTTAATATAACGATTGACGAACACTCGCGGTAACACTTTACCGTTACATTAATTTTATTCATTTTATTCATTTTGAATAAAAATTTTAATATAATGTCTAATAATTGTTATAGAAAGACTATTCGTGATTTTTTTATATCTCATTTCTCATATATACATTTTATTTACGTTTTTAATATAATTTTATAAATCTACTTCCTTGATATTGAAATAAAAAAATAACTTACCGGCCGATGCGCAACAGCGGAGTTGTAACTCTGTGTTGATCTGTAACATATAAATTTTTTTTACATTAAAACAGGGTTCAAGAGATAATCAATACTTAAAGTAAATAATAATTATATCGCGACCGTTAAATAAAACATTATTTTAACAGAAATCTGATTTTAAAATGCTA